CTCCACAAGTGTGAATTCGCAGAGCACCACTCGAAGAAAGATGGTCACAGGTATGTAACCTACCAATTTTTTACTCGGCATTCACGCACATATAAACATTCATCAGCCCTCACACATCCAAATATTACCACAACCTTTTCTCCCTCCTTGGGGAAGTATCTGCGTAGGCCAGGCTCTGCTTTCCTTGCAGCCTGCCAATGCACAGTTCCAAAACATCCATAACACCAAAATGTATCTTCTCCTTAATTACAATGCCAAAGATCAGATCTGTGTTTTTCCTACAGCAGAACATGACTCCGTGCACAAAATCTAAGAGTTTGAAAACATATCCCTTCCTCTTCCCTTGAGAAAAGGAGCAAGTGTCCAGAATCCTGCTTTCCCATAGCAGATCTGACACTCTCCATACACCATCTCTGTCCTTCCCATGGATCAGAGAGACAGGTGAACAGCTCTGCTATCTGTCACAATTTTTGGAATGTTAGAAGGTTTCTTATATAGCAATATTTCACTGAAGTTGTCCCAAAGTTGTTACTTAATGATAGACATTTTCTCATCCTGGAACATGTTGATTCCATCTCAGTTTCTGGGCAGATGTTGACTCTTCGTAATTGGTGTTAGTAAAGCAAGCAGCTCTGTGTTGACTTCCTTCTTACCGTCCTTAACTTAAAAGAGACATTGTCTCTTATTAATGTAAACAGTTGTTTTTCCCCAAAAGTTAATCATTTGTCACAGTTCTTATTAATTTTAGCAGTTTACTACGACAGGTCAAGCATTTCAGTTCTCATTAGCAACTTTTAATTACAGTCCAGCAAGCAGGTAATCAGTGATTCAGAATGGTGTCTTCAGCCAAATTAGCTATCATTCATTCATCTTTCATACAATCCATTCAAACGATATATCATATTTCATCATGACACCTGGAGCAAAGTCCACCCAAACTGGGGAATCTGCACCCATCAGGACATGACTGACAAAAACTAGAGCCTCAAAGCCAGGTCCTGAGATTTGACAACTCTAATTGAATCCTTGTCACTCTTCCAGTGACTTACTGGATTCCATTGGGAACAACTATCCCACTTCCTCACAGGCAGCTTCAGCAGAAATATCCTCTCTCTCCTGGGATGCCTTGAATGCACTCTCATCTTTTAAGGTCAACATACAAATTACCACGGTGGTATTAGTTGCTCCTTTCCCATAACCAGATCCCATCGTACTTTGACACCATGTGCTATATGCCAAGTTGGTTGGATGACTTAATATCACTCAAGGAGAGTCAACTGTGTTCCTTCTTGGCATGCAAAGAGAACAGCGACAGTAGTCTGCGGCATGTTTTTTATGTTTACCCGATCCCCACACATAAAAAAGAGAATTGTTAGCTAGAGGATACTAGCCAGAGCTGCAACCTAGGAAGATATATATTATATATGTCTTGAGAAAATATGTCTCCTACCCAAGGAATGGGAAGTCAGCAGGGAAGGTTAAGGGGGAGGTGGAAAGAGAAATAAACAATGTTATTTTATTGTATTTCGCTGTAATTGTGAAGAGAAAATTGCAATATCTGTCTTTCTGCAAAAGTATGAAGTCAGGAAAATCTTGTTCCTTCTAGAATCTTCATGTTATTCACTGTTAAGGATGCTCCAGTTTTTGACTAACATATGCAGCTGAGACAATTTTCCAATCTATCCTCCTCTATTTTCACTTGCAAATTGGCACCAGGAGTCACACTAATTTTGTATAATATGGTGCTCTTGGATAGTCTGAATTTACAAAGGAAGAACTATTGTGAATAGTCTCCATCCCATCATTCTTTCAGTTTCCTCCCAGCAATGATAACCTTCCCTATTTCTTTTTCTGTGTGTTCTTTGATTATCCCCTCTGCTTTTCTGAAAGAAAATATTCATAGTCACTGCAGAGGCCTCAGAAAAGAAATAATTGCAACACCTCCTCTCTCTTTTATGTCCTAGAATAGTTTTTGCCTCTTACATCTTGTTCCCTGTTTTCTTTATGCATCTTGTAGGAGAATTGCTGGACTTAAACAGCCTCTCTGCAGCACACAAAAGGGATATAAAACCTTGATGAAAATCTTTCTGTTGATTTGAGAGTGCTGTGAACTGAGCAAATCTGAATAAGGGAAAGGATGAAATAAACACTCATATTATACTGAAAGTGAGGTAGCATGGTGTAGTGGTTTGAAGGCTAGATTAGGACTCTGGAAGACTAGAGTTTAATTCCCAGTTCAGCCATGGGAACTCAGTGGGTGACTTTTGGTGGGTAATACTCTTTTAGGGTTCATCTACACCAGTGATTCCCAACCTGTGGGTCTGTGGACAACCAGTGGTCTGCAAGAACTAAAATATGGTCCACAGCTTCACCATTATTACACCGTTGCAACAAAAGCAACTAGTCTCGCAAAACCCTCTTATAGTGCCGAAGCTTATTAAATATAGTTTTCTGTGGGCGAGCAGATGACGACTACTGGATGGCATATGCTCTGTATCAGAAATGAGAGCTGATGTGGTCTATCCAATGCAGTTTTCTGAATTAGCACCCCAAATAACCATACCAAATCTAAAATTGACCAAAAACTGATTCGTAACCCTTTTGGTAGTAATGTTGGAGAGTGGTCCTTGGTTAATTGGTCCCTAGTCAAAAAAAGGTTGGGAACCACTGATCTACACTGTAGAATTAATGTAATTTGACACCACGTTTACTGCCATGGTTCAATGCTGTGAAATCATGGGAATTGTAGTTTGATGAGACACCAGGAATCTTTGTCAGAGAAGGCTAACATGGTCCCATGGCAGTTAAAATTGTGTCAAACTACAGTGTAAATGTACCATTGCAGTCACAGAGGAAGGCAACGGCAAATCCCCTCTGAACAAATCTAGCCTAGGAAACTTCCAGACAGATCATATGGCCAGAATGACCAGAAGGCATGCAAGAACAAGGACACTGAAGCTCTGTATCTTTATCATAATGTACCCAGCTTGTTGATGAAAAGCTAATCACTCTACTTCTTGTTTACACACAATTCGTGCTAATCATATCTTGCTGGCTTCTTTACCCAGTGCTTCCCTTTTTACACTTACATTTTTAAAGTTCTTGCTAACAGAAAAGAAGATGGCCAACATTTAAGGGAACAGGATTAATTATGTCATTTCATAAGAAGTACTACACTTTTTTAAAAAGTATTTCTGGGTAAATTAGTTAGAGTAGTGCTTTACCATGATTGGGTAACTGGAAGCATTTCAATGACTATCTCAAAGGCTATTCAATGCTAATCAAGGTGATAAATTGCAACATTCATACTTGCCTTCCCACCGTGGTCATTCCCATTTTCCTAGTTTCCAACAGACCTCACAACTTCTGAGGATGCCTGCCATAGATGCAGGTGAAACATCAGGAGATAATGCTTCTGGAACATGGCCATACAGCCCAGAAAACTCACAGCAACCCTGGAAGCATCTGAGTTGTTCATACACATCTTCTGATTTTGCACATGAATTCCATCTCATTCATTTTCAGAGCTAACCATGATACAGAGTTAAGTCTATAGTGGTACCAAAGTTAGATCTAAATTCAGTAGGTCTTAAGAATGAAGATAGGCAGAGTTGGATTGTCAGAAATGTCTGCTAGCAGCTCATATGCAGGAACCATCTGGATTGTGTATAACTTGTGTTTCTAGGAAATCAATTCAAAGGTCAAGTCTTAAGAAATATTATCAAACTTGGTTTCTTGTTTTTTTCCTGTTTGGGCAGTATGCCACTATTTCTGGAGATGTGTGTTGGGAGCTAGGGATTTCTATCCTTAAACAGAGTCTGTAAAACCAGATTCTGGTTGAAAAACTGAATTTTGGAAACAAACAAGCAAACAAAACATCCTTATGTTTCTATCAACATTTTATCAACTGGGAGTTAATAAGAGGAAAGTCCCACTGCAATTCTTTTGCTTTGCAGAGCTATGGAAGAAAATAGATTTTCTGCCCTGCCACTCTCCTTATTCAGTTTGCACTGCCAAAAGACTGAGACACAAGTCAAAAAGCAGGTCAGGGAGAAAAGTGCTTTTTCACTCACCCTTTGGCTGGTGTTGCTATGCCAACGTCAGTCAGTTTCATTCCGACACCTATAAAACAAAATAGCAACCCTCCGTTACACACTGGACATTGCACATTTTTTAAAGGACACACAAATGCACACAAATGAGTCTTTGTTAGCTTCTTTCTTTATATACATATCATCACTTTCTTGATACATGCTATATCAAATATTTAATTTTTGGAGGCAGTTCATTCTAGTTGTTCTTAAAAATAGCCTTTGTTTTGGGTTCAGTGCCTTAATAAAATAAAAATTAATAGGAACAATGGCGGAGTTGGGCAAAATATGCCTCAAGTCATATAATACCAGCTCCATGATTATGGAGGATTGACTCCACTGAATGTCTTTATGCACTCATGTTCATTTCAAAAGCAATTCTATGTATGACATCAGAAGGCTACTGTGCATATCTCAGTTGCTTTATGAATTATGAAAATTGCCTTATGTAACAGCCAGAACACTATAGTTAGTCCCAATTAGAGTAGGCCCCTTGAGGCAAAAGGATTGACATATATGTTGACTCACACCTTTTAGATAAATCCACCAAACTGACCATACAGCTATTTTAGTGCAGTGGTTAGATTGCTGAACTAGAATATGGAGTGAAGTGGGAAACCTTTGGGCATTTTCAATCTTTTACCTTTCTAAAGGTTTGTTATGAGGACAGAATGAGGAGGATGAAAGGCCTGAATGCCATGTTTTCTGCTGGAGGTAAGCTTTGGTCTGTGTATAACAAATAAGCAATATAGCCAGTGTACAGCAGGGGAAGATCCTGTGCTCCGACCATCCCATTACCATAGAATCATCAAGTTGGAAGAAACCTCATGGGCCATCCAGTTCAACCCCTTGCCAAGAAGCAGGACAATCGCATTCAAAGCACCACCAACAGATGGTCATTCAGCCTCTGTTTAAAAGCCTCCATAGAAGGAGCCTCCACCACACTTCAGGGTAGAGAGTTCCACTGCTGAACAGCTCTCACAGTCAGAAAGTTCTTCCTAATGTCCAGATGGAATCTCCTTTCCTCTCATTTGAAGCCATTGCTCCACGTCCTAATCTCCAGGGCAGCAGAAAACAAGCTTGCTCCCTCCTCCCTATGACTTCCCCTCACATATTTATGCATGGTCATCATGTCTCCTCTCAGTTTTCTCTTCTGCAGCCTAAACATGCCCAGCGCTTTAAGCTGTTCCTCATAGGGCTTGTTCTCCAGCCCCTTGATCATTATAGTCGCCCTCCTCTGGACACATTCCAGCTTGTCAATATCTCTCTTCAATCAGGCATGTAGCCGGGGGGCTACAGCCCCCCCCCCTGAAATTTTCATGGTGGTTCGCGAAAAGGCCTTATTGGTGCATTATTTAAACTGTTATGTTTATTCATATCATGATCTGATCACCATACTCAATATATCCCATATGCATGGGGGTATTGGGGTAATGATACAAAAGGTTTGCTAGGCTAGACCCTCTTTCCCTCAGACTCAGCCCCCCCCGAAACTCAGCCCCCCCCCGAAACCCCCCCTGAAAAAAAATTCAGCCCCCCCCCCCCCGAAACGAAATCCTGGCTACGGGCCTGTCTTCAATGGTGGTGCCCAGAATTGGACACAGTATTCCAGGTATCATGTTTGTTGGAAGTAAGAATGCAATGGACAGATAAATCTATCAAATAGATAATCACTACCTATCTATCTACCTATTATCTATCTCAGTGGTTCTCAACCTGTGGGTCCCTAGGTGTTTTGGCATACAATTCTCAGAAATCCCAGCCAGTTCACCAGCGGTTAGGAATTCTGGGAGCTGAAGGCCAAAACATCTGGGGACCCACAGGTTGAGAACCACAGACCTCTCTTGAGTGTGTTCAATATTTTATTGCCAAATTGTGGACAAAAAATAATTTTATTTGGTGGAGCATGAGCTGAGGAAATGTGGCCCTTCACAATCTCCTGGGAGGCTAATGTGGTGCCACTACCCTTCCACTGTTGCCCAGTTCAATGCCATTAAAAATCACATACATCATTTTTATATAATGCAGCACAAAGGGGACAACCCAGTGCTCACCTTGCATATCTGTTACAAGCAGGCTGCCACTAGTTCTTTCGTATACCCAGTGCTGAAATGTGCAGCACTTCTGGCCAGCTTCAGAGTCTTTTCTCGTGAAGTTTATTTCTTTACCATCCCTAATAGAATATTTCACAAATTCTCCAATCAACTCTTCTTCCACTGTTGCATAAGGGACGTTATTCTTGGGACGATGAATAAGGAAAATAGGAATGATTCTGAAATCAAAACAAGCAAGAATATAATTTTAAATGACCACAAGAAGCATTTATGGAACTATCTGATAACATCCTCTTTGCTGGTAAATCTGTGGCCAGGTTTTGTTGGACTGTCACTCCCATCAGCCATAGTTCTTAGGGATGCTGGAAGTTGTAGTCAACTAACAGGTGGTCTCTAGAGTCACAATCCAATCTTCAAACCACTACACCATGCTGGCTCTCAATGCATAAAATATTCCATAAAATACTAACTGATGGCAGGCATACATAAAAATAAAATCTTCCTGCAATGTTTTAGCTATGCACACATGTACTTCTAACACAGAAAGTAAGGGAAACAAGGAACTGAAACTGTGGCAAAGTTCACATGCTTCAATGCCACAACAAATGTTAGCAGTTTTATCACTTAAATAGAACTAAAAGAGATACAGGATACCCGATTGATCAAGGAAAAGAAACTGCAATGGTGGCGAAAAGGAGACCCTACTATATATGTCACTGGTTGTATTGTGTGGTATTGGGGAACAGCAGACAAGCTGAACCAAATTCAGTCTTCCCTACCCTGATATGCTCTGTATGTATTGGGCCACAATTCCCATTATCTGCAGAAGGCCTAAGAATTAGGCATTAGCAATCCTGGTTTGGAAAGGATGGATGTAGTCCAACACATTTGGAGGACCCCAGGTTGGAAAAAGCTGAATGAGGTGTAACAGATTCAGATAAAAATACAGTTGACCTTCCATATGGATAGATTATGTATCCACAGATTCAACCATTCACATGTTGAAAATATTCCCCAAAATAATCCAAAAGGCAACTTTGATTTTGCATTTCACGTACGGGGCACCATTTTAGTACACCATTGTATATAATGGAACTTGAACATGGATTTTGTGATGTCCTGGAACCAAACCACAGCTGATACTTTCCAATCGGCTCAGTATAAATTTGACTGTCATTGATAATAATGTTGAATATCCTTGAAATATTGCATACACACCAGGAGAAGGATAGTTGTGGCAGGTCAGAACCAGATTATTTTCTTTAGAGATCCACAGTGCTTATATGTTGTGCATCCATTTTGAAATTTCTTCATACTCATATATACTCTATTATAATCCAAAATTTTCAGCCCCTTTTTAGGCTGAACCCCCCCTCCCACCCCCTCAGCTCAAACTTGAGTCAAGGTTATTTATTATTTTACTCTGTTGTTGCTGTTGTTGTTACATATATTATTTTACTCCATTTATTATTATTACATTTATTATGTTTCTCTATTATTGCCATTATTTACATTTATTATTTTTCTCTATTAATATTCTTACATTTATTATTTTACTCTATTTATTATTGTTATTATTGCATTTATTATTTTGCTCTATTATTGTTTCATTTATTATTTTACTCTCTATTATTTTTGGAAGAATACGTAAGATTAGGTGCTTCGGCCTATATTCAGGTCGGCTTATAGTCAAGTATATACGGTACATACATTCAGATTAGTTGTTGTTGCTCCAACTTGTAGGGCTTGTCAAATTTTATAGCCCTTTTAACATCTGCTTGTTATTATATCATCATCAACTTGAGTGTAGTTGAAATTTAATAGAGGTTGGCTTATAGTTGAGTATATACAGTAAGTACGATTGCGGTAGTGTCTTGTTAAAAAAAAAGAGAGAGAGAGCCCTAAGCCTACTCTCTTATCATCTCTGGATCTCAGGCTCAGTGCTATGGGTGCAGCTGTGCAGCTTACATCTTTTATATTTTCTACAGATGAACTCTATTCATAGCTCTGCACCTTCGTCTTGCTTGAACAAATCCTTTCTGCCTCAGAATAGAAAGCTGAAGTAAGAGCCCTGCTGAGTGGAGAGAACCAAGGAGGGTAAGAGAGCAGGCCTGGCTCTTTCTTTTATGATGCTATGATGCAACTGTGAAAAGCACAACTATAAATGTCTACCTTAATTGGCCAAGAGTCCGAGTTCAAATCTGGATGTGAAGCAGCAGGTGCTGATCCCATTTGTCTGGGATTGGCCATTATGGAAGATTATCTGTATGAAGTGTGCATAAAGTGGGACTGCTCACTCGCTAGGATATGTTTTCCTGATTCAGAATGATGCATCTGAAGTAGCTATCTAATATCATACGGAAAGAGATGACAAATCAAGCTTCTTGGATGGAATGAAACACTCATCCTTGAAGTGGGCAAGAGGAACGTTAACACCCTTCAGAAGAGCTTGCTTTATATGGTGATCCTGCTTTGGAACAGCAAATCCTTTCGAAAGGTCTCCTGGTACTGCCACCTATTAGACACTTTGCACAGAGTTTCCTCATTAGTGTGAAGAGTTTTTAAAAAGAGCTGCTATGACACAATGAATAACAATACGTATAGCTATAACCCATGTAGTCATATGCATATTATCATGTATGTCATATAATAGACATACTCATCATGTGTGTGCCTTCAAGTGATCTGTTGAGTAATGGTCACCCTATGGAAGTCATACAATTTTCGTAGACAAAGAATACTCAAAAGCCTACAGCACTTGGTATTCATTAGTGCTCTCCCAGCCAAGTTTTAACCAGGATTGAACATGCTTAGCTTCCAAGATCAAACAGAATCTGATCCCTTTAGCATAATAATAATAATAATAATAATAATAATAATAATAATAATAATACACTTTATTTATATTCCGCTTCATCTCCCCAGAGGGACTCAGAGCGGATTACAGTATACACATATAAGGCAAACATTCAATACCTTTTACACAGTGAACAGCAGCAACATGCAATACACAGACAAAGGTGAAGGCCTTCCCCTTTCATTTACCAAAATACTCTGGATACATTTCATTAGCCCCAATAATACCTGGAGTGCTTTATAGGAGGGGTGGAGTCAATTAAATGTTGCTGGACTACACTCCAATAATCCCAAGGAGTTGTAAATAGGGAAAGAGGGAAAGGAAAGATTTACATGTAACTCTTGCAGTTACAATGTAAAAGCAAAAGCTGTTTGTAACACAGCGGTTGTGCTTGCTTCTCCCGTCCCTTCCTTACTCATAGCTACTAGCAACCATGTTGCCTGGGTGCTTCTGGGAGTTTAGTCCCATACTCTGGCTGGAACAATTATTGCATACTGTGAGGGCAGATAATTATTTGGAAATGAATCAGGGAAGTGCCTTTGTTGCCTTGCCAGAGAGAGCAAACCATATTGGGTTGGCGAGGCTCATTTATATGGCGAGATTGATTCTCATGTGCTTTGTTTTTTGATCCATAGCGTGTCTTCCATCATACAACTCTTGCAGTTAGTGCACAAACAGTTCCCCCCCTCCCAAAATGTACTCACTCTGGCACTTCTCCAAAGCCTTCCAGTGGTTTTGTTTCAGCAGCATATATCTTGGCATACTCCCTCGCTGTGTTCTGAACATAGCATTCCTATGTACAAGAAAAACCCAGTGGTGTGGTGAAAACAGAGACAATTGACTCAGTTAACTGTAGATAATAATAATCTATATCTATATATACTTATTACTTATACTTAATTAATAAAAGTGAAAATATATGTGTGTGTGTATGTAGCTGGGGTGCCCACCGACAGGCTCCCACTTCCACAAACAGCTTTAACCCACAGTGCTGGGATTTATAGTTCACCTGCAAGCCAAGAGCACTCTGTACCCTCCTGATGATGGACCTGGAACTAACTTGGCACACAGAACCACCATAACCAACTGAATGTTCTGGAGGGATTTGGTGGGACTGACCCACCATGGTGGGAGTTATAATTCATCTGCAGCTGGAGAGCACACTGTAGTCCACCAATGATGCATCTACAGCAAACTTGCCCAACATGACAAACTTTAAATATCGATGGAGTTTCAGGGAGTTGACCTGGCATGATATGAACTGTAGTTCACCCACAACTTTATCCATTTTGTAAAATAAAAACAAATGACTTCTTCTAATAACCTGGGCAATGCCAGGTACCCAAGCTAGTAATATGATGATGATGATGATGATGATGATGATGATGATGATGATAATAATATGTATTTATATCCCACCCCATCTCCCCATAGGGACTCAGATGTGCTTAAACTTGGAATGCAAATACAGTAGGCTTTCAGTTAAGCAGAGCTCCAGCAACCACCAAAGAAATTGAATAAATAATGCATACTGCATTCACAAAGTTATTTTGATCATCAATAAACTGTGTTTCATTAAGTGTGCCTTTGTCTTTCTTTTAATTACTGTATTTCAAACTTAATATCAAGTCAATACAGAGTTTATGGTATGGTACACTATAAGGTAATAATATTAGGCCTATTTTAATAGTAATTCTCAAACAACCAGAAACTACATTTATCTGGCATCTACCCATGAGTGCCAGTTGGGAGTCTACTGCACTCTCATATTTTCTTGTCCTTTACAGAAATAGAGTCTTGTTGTCAAGAGATTTTCAAACTTTGTGGCCAAAATATTTTGGTAGGAGTTTTGCATGAAAAGCATTATTGTTGTGCCTACCCTCA